TGGGTTCAGGCAATTCTCCTGCCTCAGCCTCCTGAGTAGCTGGGATTACAGGCATGCGCCACCATGCCCAGCTAATTTTTTGTATTTTTAGTAGAGACGGGGTTTCACCATTTTGACGAGGATGGTCTCGATCTCTTGACCTCGTGATCCACCCGCCTCGGCCTCCCAAAGTGCTGGGATTACAGGTGTGAGCCACCGCACCCGGCCTTAATTTTTTTTTAAATACAGTGTTCTCTGTATGTTGCATTTTAGGAAATTTCTCATTATTCTCTTTAAATTAACTCTTTTAGTTTTTACTAAGCCAGGCTAGAATAGTATAGTCTATCCGTTGAGGCTTGTATTTTGTTTTCTATATTTTTCATTTTTAATATTTCTCATTCCTCTTTGCCCTTTTTACATTTTTACTTGTATATATTTCATTTCTGCTTGTTTTTCTTTTCTTTCTTCTTTCCTTTTCTCTCTCTCTCCTCTCTCTCTTTTTCTTTTCTTTCTTCTTCTTTTTTTTTTGGCAGTGCAGACAGACTTTATTAGTAGAGCAGAGGTGCTCACAGAGCAGGCGGAAAGGATCGGTGCCTGGATTTATCCCTTCCTTTTTCTGTTGCTGCTGGGCCTAGGAGGACGGGGCCTGGCCTGGACCAATTTCTCTTGCTCTACCTGAAACACATGAGAATGAATAGCTCAGGGCTGGCCCCCTTGTCATAACTCCAATGTCATCACTTCAATGAAAGGATAAGACCTCTCCTTCTCCAGCCCCTAGGCAAGAAACCCCAGCCACTATGGAGAGACAACTTTGTGGGGCCTGGGCTTAGGAATATCCTCGAGACACCCCCACCCCACACCCTTTAGCTCTCTGGGGCTCAACACACTTTCTTTATTTTGTTGACAATTTATCATAGTTTAATAAATCTTATTCCATTATTTATCTCCTTGAAGATCCTACTCAGTTATTTTAAAGTCTTTTTTATAATTGCTCTGTTATTTTAATTTTAACTGCAGTGATTTCCTGCTGACTTTGTAGGTTGGCTTTCCTCGTGATTCTCCTCATGAATTTTTGAAATTTGTAGGCTCATCTTGAGTAGCAGATTTTTTTTTTTCTCTCTGCACTCACCTCTCCTTATCTAATAGTTTTGTGTGTTCTTTTGCCAGATCTTCCAGAGTCCCCAGTTCTAAGCCAAGATTTACTGAGATAATTTTGGGGCTCATACCTCTTGGTGATATCAGGGCTATTACAGATTCAGTCATGCATTTGGGGCAGCTTAGCTCAGCCATTCACAATAGGCTGTGCCAAATATTCCCAGATAGTTAGGCCTGTAGCTTTCTAGAAGCCACAGTCCCAGGGAGTGTTTGGCAGTAGCTCTGTCTTAGCTGTCTTCCACAAGACAGAAAGTTCTGAGAGACAAGAAAGGAAATAAAACTGGTTAGGCAGACAGTTAGGATGGGTCCTTGGTAAAACTCCTTCAAACAGAGAAATAGCCTGAAAAACAAAAGCTACAGGCACAGATGTAGCAACCTGGAAAAAAATTAAGCTGTAGCTTCTGAGATAAGGCAGCAAGGCCCAACAAAAAGAGCCTTTGTTATTTGCATAATCAGCAAACTCCTAGGAAAAAGTTTCCTCTCCTTTTCAGGCATGTACATGGTGGGCTCCATGGGAACTTGCACAGGGAGAAGGACTTACCTAAAACAGACCCACAGTTACACAAACAAGAGGAGCTGTCCTTTGTGCTTACCTGAGACATACCCGCAATACACAGATAAGGAGAGTTACACAGACAGCTACTACACAGATAAGGGAAGTTACACAAACAGCTAGAGAGATGAAGGGAGTATTTTTTTAATAAAAGATTTTGGATTCAACTGTAAAGGTGGCAACCCTCTTTCGGGCCCCCTCTTTGCTACAGAGAGCTTTCTTCTTTCAATTATTAAACTTTCACTACAATCTCACCCTTGTGTCCAGGCTCCTTAATTTTCTTGGTCATGAGACAAAGAACTCCGAATACTACCTCAGGCAACAAGACTGAAATACTGTGGTCCACTGGCAAGGCTGCAACACTTCTACATCAGCCCCCCAGTTTTAAGAAAGGAGCCTGGTTCCTGTTCTGCCTAAGGTGGGGCACATTTACTCTGTACCAAACCTAAAAGTAGGCTTTGCTTTTAGTACTGATCCAACTAAGTATTGATCCAAGTAAGCATTGACTTGTTGTGCTCAAGTCATCATCTTGCAGTTGTATCCATTCTTCTAACATGAAAAGATTTCTCTTATTTTTGAGCTTCACTGTGCCTTTTTATTTTCCTTTAAAGAGGTTCTATGTATCACTGCTATTTTCTCAGAGTGTTAGGAGGTGATCCTCAATAAATGAACTTCCAATTCTGTATTAACCCAGGCCCCAGTTTAGTCATTAGATGACTAGAAATAATGCTTTGTTTTGTTTTACGTTTTTAAGTTAAAACTAAGTTTCAAGTTGTTTTTCAGTTATATAGGGCCCTTTGATCAGACTTTATATGGTTTAGATCTGTGTTCCCACCCAAACCCCATGTCAAATTGTAATCCCCAATAATGGAGGTGGGGCCTGATGGGAGGTGATTGGATCATGAGGGCGGAGTTCTCATGAATGGTTTAGCACCAATCCACTGGTGCTGTTCTTGTGATACTGAATGAGTGATTGTGAGATCTGGTTGTTTTAGAAGTATGTAGCACTGGCCAGGCATGGTGGCTCATGTCTGTAATCCTAGTACTTTAGGAGGCCAAGGTGGGCAGATCACCTGAGGTCAGGAGCTTGAGACCAGCCTGGCCAACATGGCAAAACTCCATCTCTACTAAAAATACAAAAAATTGGCTGGGCATGGTGACACATACTTGTAGACCCAGCTACTCTGGAGGCAGGGAGAATCACTTGAACCCAGGAGGTAGAGGTTGCAGTGAGCTGAGAACGCACCATTGTACTCCAGCCTTAGCAACAGAGCGAGACTCCATTAAAAAAAAAAAGTGTGTAGCACCTCCCCTGACCCTTGCCCCTGCTCCAGTCACGTAAGAGATGCATGATTTCCCTTCACCTCCCGCCATGTTTGAAAGCTTCCTGAGGCCTTCCCAGAAGCAGAAGTGGCTATATTTCTTAGTACAGCCTCCAGAACCATGACACAATTAAACATCTTTTATGTATAAATTCTTTTATTTATAAATTATCCAGTCTCGGCCTGGTATGGTGGTTCACACCTGTAATCCCAGCACTTTGGGAGACCAGGGTGGGCAGATCATGGGGTCAGAAGTTTGAGGCCAGCCTGGTCAACATAGTGCAACTCCATCTCTACTAAAAATACAAAAGATTAACCAAGTGTGGTGGTGGGCACCTGTAATC